AATAATACACTCGGATAGCTTATCCCTGTTGAAAAAAACAGCATATGCTGGTTAGGTATGTTTTGACGCTGGGTTGCTGGTTTAAGCTGGTCCTTTGCTGGTTTATGTTGGTCCTTTGCTGGTTTATGCTGGTCCTTTGCTGGTTTATGCTGGTCCTTTGCTGGTTTATGCTGGTTATGTGCTGGCAAAGGACCAGCTTAAACCAGCAAATGACCAACATAAACCAGCAAAAGACCAGCATAAACCAGCAAAGGACCAACATAAACCAGCAAAGGACCAGCATAAACCAGCATCCCAGCGTCAAAACATACCTAGCCAGCATATGCTGGTATTTTCAAAAGGGATGGCAAGCCGTTTTAGGCCTATTCCCAGTGTTACTTGTCATAATTGCATTTTTACTAGTAACAATTCAATTAGAGAACTCTCTAATTCAGTTCTTACTAGTAAGAATTCCAATTACAGAGCTCTACAAATGAATTTTTACTAGTCATCTCCATTGACTTCCATTAATTTTTAATTACAGAGCTGTCCAACTGAATTTTCATGAGTAAAAATTACAATTAGAGGCTCTACAATTGAATTCTTACTAGTTACATTTTAAATTAGAGAGTTCTTTAATTCAATTTTTACTAGTAACAATTCCGATTAGAGAGCTCTCTAATTTAATTATTATAGTAAAAATGCAATTACAGAGCTCTATAATTCAATTTTTACTAATAAAAAAACGTTCAAAAAGATATGTTGAATTGTAGAGCTCTCTAAATGAATTCCTACTAGTAAGAATGTAATTGCAGAGCTCTCTAGTTCAATTGGAGAGCTCTGTAATTCAATTGTTACTAGTAAGAATTGAATTAGAGAGCTCTACAATTCAACATATCTTTAATGTGGTTTCATATAGCTCAGCTGTATATGATCTGTCGTTCCTGTCTGAAGTACCAAACAGAAAGATGAAACGCAAGTTTTCTTTTGAATTCCTCAGAAAAAAAAGCACCCACAACAAAAAAGGGCAAAAAAATCTGACAAAGCGCCCACGGTTAGAAAGAAAGTTGTGGGAGTTCTTTCAGAAAACTTGAAAGCAGTGCTGCGACACTTGAATAACGAGCTGCTCTGGGAATAGTGTCATTTTAATGGTGAAGACAAGAAATAAGTGAGAGTATGAAAGTGTCTATCAAAACAGGCAAAGATCCAATTTATAATGTTTCCTTTTTCCTAACAGTGGTTGTGTGTTGAATTTAAACATGTGTTTATTAAATTAGGGTAAGTTTTATTAATCATTTTTAACCTGTAGACTAAGTCCTCCAGTATAGAGGACATTATATTCTAGCAAATTTCTCCTCACATGTCACAGTTTTAAGTCTGGATGTCCTGTAAAGAGCACATTCTGGGCTTTTCAAGTTTGGAAGTTTATGACCACTCCCTCTCCTTGGTCTTTAAAAATGGCTGGCATTGATTTAGTGATCAAATGTAACATATATGATAATATTTTGTAATCATCATTTAAATCTGACTAATTTTCAAAATGTTTGTCATAAATCAACATCTCAGGAAAATGTTATGTTATATTAATTTATTACGCATTTTGAGAAACACAACAAGTAAACAGTGAAAAAATGTTATAACGTTATTCCTATGGAATATTAGATATTGTTATGAAAATCTTGCCAATTATTACTCCCATTATTACACTTCTTTTTCATTACATGTTGCCAAAAAACTAATAATAAAACTAAAAAACTAATTAATATGCAAATTAGATACAGTGTATAGATGCATTATATATAATGGTAATTATATATTATATTATATTATAATTATATATATATTAGTGCTGTCAAACGATTAATCGCGATAATAATCGCGACATAATATATGTGTGTGTACTGTGTATATTTATTATGTATATATAAATACAAACGCATGTATGTATTTAAGAAAAATATGTTGTTTATATGTTAAATATATTTATATATAATATACAATATAAGAATATACTGTAAATATATAAATGTATATACATTTAAATATTTTCAAAATATATACTGTATGTGTGTGTATTTATATATACATA